GGGAGGACGCACGGTGGCTTTTCTTTGTGTCCTGGCTGGCTGAACTGTCCTGCAGTGCACTTTTTTTGTTCAACTTCATAAAGTTATTTGGCAGGTTAGTGCGGGAGGGGGGCGTAAGGAGCTGCCTAAGGCATTTGACTGTCTACCAGAAGGTTGGCAGTTCAGACCCACCAGCCACTCCATGGAAGGGAGACAGGGCAATCAACTTCTGTAAAGATTTACTGCCTCGGAAACCAGTGGGGGTTGCTATGAGTCAGAATGGACTTCATGGCAGTGGGTTGGGGCAGAGGGGCATGCAAACAGCCCCTTTCGTAAAATGCCGTAAGAACTGACGGTTTCGAGCTGGGGATAAAGGGGAGGTGCTGACTCTGCCGTTTAACCTTCACTTTTATGAGGGTGGCCTAGATGGTGGCATCCCGGGCAGCCCCTGCCAGGCTGCCAGCCCCCTCTCTCTGGGGCCGAGTCTTGTCTACAGCATCTGTCAACCAGGACACCCTAGGGGTGTTTTTCTCTGTTTTTTAAACATGTTGTCAGATTTTTTTTCTTTGGAAACCATGAACTTTCATTGAACCCTTGCTGCAGGCCACTGTCCTGGGGACAGAGAGGGTGAGGCCCAGATGCCATCTGAACTTTGGGCTCAGACCCTCAAGGCCAAGGCCTGGACTTCTAGTGACTCGCCCAGACGGTGCTGACGAGAGCGTCACTCAATCGACGTAGTGTCCGTGTGGGGCTGGATTTGTCTGAAGACATTAACACTTTTTCTAGCAGTTCCATGTCCAGATGGCTACTCACTGATGGCCTGGCACAGGGGGAAGTGACGGAGACAAGGATTCCCACCAGAGGACTGCAAGGACTCACCTTCCTTACCGGGGTGTCACCGGGTTACTGTGGAGCCTAGCTGCCCTTTAAGACAAGCTCTTCCTGCAGAGCTGTGGGCACAGGGCTGCTCCAGAGATGGGGAGGGAGACAGGCTGTTGTGAGGGTTGGAGGCAGGGTCTGTCCCCCGCCAGGCTCGCTGCCGTTTAAACTCGTGATCCTCATGCTGCCCGGGAGCTGGGCTTCTCCGAGGCACTGGGTGATGGGCAGGTGGCAGGTGGGTGTGCTCAGAGAGAAGCAGGTGCTGGGCATCGTGTGAGAGGAGCCCTAAACCAGGAGGGACAGTGACATGACACGGATTACCTCCTGGTGGAGGTGTTCTTCCAAAGGCGCCTGATTTTAGCACTAAGCATGGAAGCCATGATGGTCATTTTTGCAAACTGGAACCCTCTTTGGAAGCCACTTAAGTGGTGGTGACAGCCTTTCCATCTCGTCAGGGACTCTCCTGACGGTGTGTCTGTGCGTCTTTGCTGGCCATTCTAAGTGCCGTCTGTCCCTTGTCCTTAGGTATCCGCTCATCATCGACCCCTCGGGACAGGCCACAGAATTCATCATGAACGAGTACAAGGACCGGAAGATCACGCGCACCAGCTTTCTGGATGACGCCTTCCGGAAGAACCTGGAGAGTGCACTGAGGTTCGGGAACCCTCTCCTGGTCCAGGTGTGTGGCTCGCTTGGGGGTCCTCAGGCTTCTGCTGGGGGCTCCCTGTAAGGCTTCGTTGGTTCTTTTCAGGCATCGTTGACATAAATCATTATGTAAAGTCTAGCTTAGCACTTCCCACTAGAACTTCCTGCTGTGAAGGGGGTGTCCTGTGCCCTGTGCTACCAGCCACTGTGGTATTGAGCTCTTGAAAGGGCTAGTGTGACTGAGCGATGGGGTTTTCAGTTTAAACGTCTGGTGGCTGCCATGTTGGCCAGTGTAGGTCCAGATGGCCAGGTGGCTTCTAGGAGTAAGTTTGTGCCCTTCTTACTGGAGCTGCCAAGGAAAACACCAACGCCAAGCAGGACGATGAAAGGGAAGGGCCTTTATTTGTACCAGCACAGACAGTGGATTCATAGCCAGAGACCGGGCCCTGAACGAAGGTCACAGGGGGCTTTTATGGGGTGGTTCTTCTGGGGTGATCGGTTACCTACGCAAAGAGCACCTGCAGCCAGCAGTTTTTATGGAAGTTAAACGTGCCTGAGTGAAAGAGAGGAGGGGGAGTATGGGCAGAGGAATTTTCTACTCTATACATGGTTTTTCAAGCCAGTTCAAGCCAGATGTCTCTCCTTGAATAGGAACTTATCATTGATAAGCCTTCATTTGTGGGGAGATACGTATCGTGTACCTTAGCCACTGAGTGATGTGTGTATCTGTGGGTACCTGTAGGATGTGGAAAGCTATGATCCGGTCTTAAATCCAGTCCTGAACCGTGAAGTCCGACGAACAGGAGGGAGGGTGCTGATCACGCTTGGTGACCAGGACATAGACCTGTCGCCCTCATTCGTCATCTTCCTGTCCACCAGAGACCCCACGGTGAGGAGGGGATGCTGCACGTGCAGAAATGGGGCCATGCTTGGTTTTGCAGCTAACAAAAAAAAAAACCTCAGAAATCAAAGATGCCTGGAAACAATATGTCCAAGGGACTAGTGGGCCACGTGAACTTCGACCTACATGACCCTGAGACCAGAACTAGATGGTGCCTGGCTACCCCTGTCAACCACTTGGAAAGAGATCAGTGTAGGAGATCCTGGGTAGAGTAGGAGAAAAATACAGAGCAAAACTCAAAATCGTGGGGAAAAAATAAAAGCCAGGCTCACTAATGTGATAGAGCCTGGTGAAGCCCCTGAGACTATGACTCCAGTCACCCTTTGGGCCTGGCATTGAACTCACTCCCGAGGCTTCCAGCCAAATAATAGGTGTATAAGGTGAAGATTTAAACCAGGTAAGTATGCCCCTTAGAACTATCAGCCGTGGGAGATGAGAAGGGCAGCATTGCACAGGGAGAAAGCTCAGGGCAGGAGTGCAAGGACAGGTCATAGGTATAAGTCACCCCAGGGAGGAGGTGGGAAGAGAGCTGTTGCATCATGGGGATCGCAGTGTCATGAAACAAAACGTGTGGACTGGTAGACTGTTGAATGGAAAACAAATCTGCTCTGTAAGCTTTCCCCAAGATCGCAGTTTAAAAAAAGAAAAGGAAAAAAACTCTGTCCATTTGGCAGGTTGAGTTCCCACCAGATCTCTGCTCCCGCGTCACTTTTGTGAACTTCACCGTCACCCGTAGCAGCTTACAGAGCCAGTGTCTCAACGAAGTGCTTAAAGCAGAAAGGCCTGACGTGGATGAGAAGCGCTCCGACCTGCTGAAGCTTCAAGGTGCAGTCCCAGCCCTGTGGCGGGGGGGGCCTGGTGCCTGGGACTCTGAGCGTCTGAGGGGCGAGGCTGACGAGAAACACGCCCGAGGGGACGTGAGCACCCAGAACATGGCGGGTGTTGGTATCCCTCAGGGGAGTTCCAGCTGCGGCTGCGACAGCTGGAGAAGTCTCTGCTGCAAGCCCTGAACGAGGTGAAGGGTCGCATCCTGGACGACGACACCATCATCACCACGCTGGAGAACCTCAAGCGAGAGGCCGCCGAGGTCACGAGGAAGGTGGAGGAGACCGACATCGTCATGCAGGAGGTGGAGACGGTGTCACAGCAGTACCTGCCGCTCTCCACGGCCTGCAGCAGCATCTACTTCACCATGGAGTCCCTGAAGCAGGTGACGTGCCTGCGACGGCCGGGCGGTGCCGCACTCCCCTCCCCAGCGGGAGCTGGGGCGGGCGCCTCATGGCCATGCGACGCCTGCTTTTCAGATTCACTTCCTGTACCAGTACTCCCTGCAGTTCTTCCTGGACATCTACCACAACGTCCTGTACGAGAACCCGAACTTGAAGGGCATCACGGACCACACGCAGCGCCTCTCCATCATAACCAAGGACCTCTTCCAGGTGGGGCAGGCACGCTGCTGCCGCCACCACCACCGCTGCTGCTTCCGGGGGTGGGGCAGGCTACTGGGGGGGTGGGGCAGGCTCCTGGGGGGGTGGGGAGGCTGCTGGGGGCAGAGCAGGCTGCCTCGCTCGGCTGCCTCCAGAAGCATCAGTGTCCTGCTGTCCCAGGTGGCCTTCAACCGTGTGGCTCGCGGCATGCTGCACCAGGACCACATCACCTTCGCCATGCTGCTGGCGAGGATCAAGCTGAAGGGCACCATTGGGTAAGCTGTGCCTGCCCCCTCGCAGTGGGTTGTTGTCCGTTTGTCTGAAGGGCACCATTGGGTAAGTCGTGCCTGCCCCCTTTCAGTGGGGTGTTGTCCATTTGTCTGGAGGGCGTCTACGTCAGGACAAGGTCGTCTTTTTGTCATTACTGTTGCTCTAGTGGCCGTGGAAACGCACATGGGAAACTTGGGTAACCCTCTGTGCCCCAACAGGGAGCCTGCCTACGATGCTGAGTTCCAGCACTTCCTGAGGGGCAAGGAGATGGTCCTGAGTGCAGGCTCGACCCCCAAAATCGCGGGCCTGACTATCGAGCAGGCCGAGGCGGCCATGAGGCTGAGCTGCCTCCCAGCATTCAAGGACCTGATCGGGAAGGTGCAGGCCGACGAGGTAAGCATGCGTGTGGCGTATGCCCTAGATGGGTGTGTCAGACGAGCCCCAGACGACATGCGAGTGGGCTCCGCTCACGGCCTGCGTCCGGGTTGTCTCACAGCAATTCGGCATCTGGCTGGACAGCAGCTCCCCGGAGCAGACGGTGCCCTACCTCTGGAGTGAGGACGCTCCTGCCAGTAGGTCACCCAGCCCCTCCCCCGTCCCAGACCACCACGCAAAGTCAGTGACCGCCTCCTCACCCCAGTAAATATTCCCAGTTAAAGGTGTTTAGGAAACCGCTCTGGGAGGTAGCTTCTGGGTAGGGCTTGGCTTAGAAGTGGGAGAGCAAACCGTCTCTAATTCCTATTTGAGCTCCTGCCCCCAGACCCCAAGAGAAGCAGACACCCTATTGCGCACACGAGAATGGGAGGCGGGGCCTTGTTCATGCCACAGGCCATACAGGCCGTTAAGCTGGGCCCTGGCTTCTGTGACTGGGCCGGCCTGACAAGCATCAGTGCTAGTGGGGCCCTGTGGTGCCAGCATCTTTTAGCCTTTTCTGGGGATGGTCAGGTGTTTGACAACGAATGAGTATCAGAGTAATAACTGACAAGGTAGTAAAGGAGATGTTACCTGTGAAGGCGTGTCCAAGGGCTTAGTGAAGGCATCAGGGTGGCTGAATCTCTGGGGCCAGGGAGCCAGAAAGGCATCGTGACGTGCGAGTGTTGACCGAGCTGGGTCTTGAGTAGTGTTTCTGGGCAGGTGCTCGTAGGAAGAGCAGTGGCGGTGGGAGGGCGTCGTCCTGCCCCTCAGCCCCGCTCACCTCGTTTCAGCTCCCATTGGACAGGCCATCCACCGCCTGCTACTGATCCAGGCCTTCCGGCCTGACCGCCTGCTGGCCATGGCCCACACGTTCGTGTCCACGAACCTCGGCGAGTCCTTCATGTCCATCATGGAGCAGCCGCTCGATCTGACCCACATCGTGGACACGGAGGTAGTGCTCTCAGACCCTCCACGTGATCTGCTTCCTGGCCATGTCCCCCCTCGGGCCGGATGCCCCTGTGCATCCCAGGCCCACCCATCTCCAAGCCGGCCCATCTCTCTAGGCCAGGAGGGCACTGCCCCAGGCTCTGTCTTCCCTCGATGGGCCCTGCCTATGGCACGCTGTCTGAGCTCGTCTGCCACCTCGTTTGCAGGTGAAGCCAAACACCCCTGTCCTGATGTGCTCTGTGCCTGGCTACGATGCCAGCGGGCACGTGGAGGACCTGGCAGCCGAGCAGAACACCCAGATCACCTCCATCGCCATCGGTAAGGGGCTTGGCGGCTCTCACAGGCTCAGGCACCGAGTCCACGTGGGCGTGGAAGGCCAAGCCCCCCTCGCTGACATGTCTCCTTTCGTGTGTCAGGCTCAGCGGAAGGCTTTAACCAGGCAGACAAGGCGATCAACACGGCCGTGAAGTCCGGCAGGTAGGGTTGGTTGTGCTTGCTTTTGGGAGCCTGTCCCCGGAGCGGAGGGGCTGGCAGTGCCGCGGCCCAACCCTTGGTGTGTGCAGGTGGGTGATGCTGAAGAACGTGCACCTGGCGCCCGGGTGGCTGATGCAGCTGGAGAAGAAGCTGCACTCCCTGCAGCCGCACGCCTGCTTCCGGCTCTTCCTCACCATGGAGATTAACCCCAAGGTGGGCGGGCGGAGGCGCAGGTTGGGCTTCTGGAGGCCAGGTCGGCGTCCTTGCCAACACCGTGAGCGTGTGTCATGGCCAGGCAGACCCTGTGTGGAGTGGCGCCTTTGTCTGCGCCGTGAGCGTGTGTGTCATTGAGCGGACATTGTGGAGTGACACCTTTGTGTGCACTGTGAGCGTGTATATTGTTGAGTGGGTCCTGTGTGGAGTGGCACCTTTGTGTGCACCGTGAGCGTGTATATTGTTGAGTGGGTCCTGTGTGGAGTGGCACCTTTGTGTGCACCGTGAGCGTGTGTGTCGTTGAGCAGACCCTGGCTGGCACTGGGACAGTAACAGGCCGTGCTCTCCCAGGTGCCCGTGAACCTGCTCCGCGCTGGCCGCATCTTCGTGTTCGAGCCCCCTCCTGGCGTAAAGGCGAACATGCTGAGGACCTTCAGCAGCATCCCTGTCTCCAGGATCTGCAAGGTGAGGGTGGTCTCCTGGCCTCGAGAAACCCAGGGACCGAGGGCCTGTCCTGGGCCAGACACAGCAGCCAGGAACAGCTGGTCATGCAGGTCGCTTGGGTTTAGGGACTGAGGGCCCGTCCTTGCTGTGGAAAGAGTGAAGGGAAAGGCCCCTAATGCAGTGACGTGAGAGAATGAGGGGCTGGTTAGGCTCCCAGAGGAGAGAGCACGGACCGTGAGGCCCACTGGGGCCTGGGTCACTGCCCCCTCCGCCCCAACAAGGCCCAGCTGGATCCGGGTTGCCCCCAGTGCAGATTGTTGGGAATACGCCTCAGGGGAGGGTGCCCCCACCCTGCTGTCAACACTCAGGGAAGCTGCGACGGGGCAGGAGGGGCTTGTGGGCAGGAATTGGGACTGTGTTCTGTCTGCAACTCACTGCTTGTCTGGAGCTGTTGTCCTCCATGGCTGACACGGTCAGGATGTGGCTCCCCGTGCGGAATTGTCAGTTGGCAGTAACTCCTCTGAGCAGTGCTGTCAGGTCACCAGTAGGTGCACTTTCTCCTGGCAGCAGCACGAGGGTGGGCTTCCTTCTCATTAGGCCTTCAAATTGACGGTGCTCATATGGTTGTGTGTGTGAGATCATGTGTGTGTGGTGTGGCTGTGTGTGGGTGGGTGGATGTATAGTATATGTGTGTGTGGTCATATGGCTGTGTGTGCCACATGTGGGTGAATGTGGTGGTGTGTACATGTGGTCATGTGTGGTGTGGGTATGGTGTGTATGTGTGGTCTGTGTGTGAGCATGGGATCTGTGGACATGTGAGTGTGTGTGGTATGCATGGAGATGTGTGGTCTTGTGTGCATGTGGTTATGTCTGGCATGTATGGGGTTGGATGTATGGTGTGTGTACATGTGTTCATGTGTGTGTGATATGTGTGGTGTGTGATTTTTGTGTGTGGTTGTGTCGTGGTCGTGTGGATGAGTATGTGGTCATGTGTGGTGTAGGTGTGCTTGTGTCATATGAGTGCATGTGGTTTGTGGATGTGTGTGTCATGTGGTCATGTGTGGAAATGGTCGTGTGGTGTGTGACATGGGTGTGAAGTCATGTTTGTGGTGTGTGTGTACACATGTGGACGTGTGCATACGGTCATGTGTGTGTCATCTGTGGGATCATGTGGTGTGTCATGTGGACATGTACGTGTGGTCATGTGAGTGTGTGTGGTGTGTGGGTGTGGTATGTGTGGTCATGTATGAAAATGGTCGTGTGGTGTGTATCGTGGGTGTGTGCGGTGGGTGTGAAGTGTTTGTGGTCAGGTGTGTGTGTGTGTGGACGTGTATATGTACGGTCACGTGTGGTATGTGTGTCATCTATGTGGGATCATGTGTGGTGTGGTTGTGTGTGGGTACACGTTGTCATGTGTGTGCTGCATGCTGTCTCCTTCATGTTGCTGTTCTGACAGCATGTCTGCCTTAGGCTATCTCCTCAGTCTGGTGACTATGACCTTTGTACTTCAGTCTCCCAATGAGCGTGCCCGCCTATACTTCCTGCTGGCCTGGTTCCACGCCATCATCCAGGAGCGCCTCAGATACGCCCCCCTGGGGTGGTCCAAGAAGTACGAGTTTGGGGAGTCAGACCTGCGCTCGGCCTGTGACACCGTGGACACGTGGCTGGACGACACAGCCAAGGCAAGTGGGTGGCCCCGTCTCAGGATGGAGGTTCATTTAGGGAGAAACACATAGAAAAGCTACGTCATGGTGATGAAGTAACTAACCTGTCCACTTGGAGCAGCCAGGGCACAGGGAGTGGTGTGCTGTTTGATGCTCGTGTGAGGAGACAGGCAGTAGCCAGGCCTGCTTGCCCTTGGGATGCACGTCAGCCTGCTTCTCCCCCCAGGGAAGGCAGAATATCTCTCCAGACAAGATCCCGTGGTCGGCGCTCAAGACCTTGATGGCCCAGTCCATCTACGGGGGGCGTGTGGACAATGAGTTTGACCAGCGCCTGCTCAACACCTTCCTGGAACGCCTGTTCACAACCAGGAGCTTCGACAGTGAGTTCAAGCTGGCCTGCAAGGTGGACGGGCACAAGGACATTCAGATGCCCGATGGCATCAGGTACACGGCCGCACAGTTGAGGGGGTGGCATGGCGGGGCCTTAGTCATCAGCTGGCAGCCCGGCGCGCAGCTGCCGACACGAGCCCCCGTGTGGTCTTTCAGGCGTGAGGAGTTCGTACAATGGGTGGAGCTGCTCCCTGACACGCAGACGCCTTCCTGGCTGGGCCTGCCCAACAATGCTGAGAGGGTCCTGCTCACCACGCAGGGTGGGTAGCGCGCCTGCACCCCGGGCAGCTTGCCCCCGCCTGCCCCGCTCACCCTTCAGCTACTTGCTGCCCGAGCAGCCCTGGGGTGGGGTGGGGTGAAGAACAGCGGCTCTGAGTGCTTTCTGCAGAGTTCTCGGTTCAGGGGAACTTGATACCTGATGTGAACGGGGTCTGGAGTTACGTTTGGGTTTCCGTCTTACTTCAGAATTAGTTTCTTTTTCTCCCTGAAGACTCAAAAGCCACGCAGTAATGCTAGGAAGCTGGCACGCTGGGGCCGTCACGCCTGTGGAGTCATCCCTGTCACCCAGGGAGCAGGGTCATCGTGGCCAGAGGGCACCTGCAGACATTCCTGGGGTGGCAGAGCAGGGGTGTCTCCTGAGGACACAGGCCATGGGACCAGGGGCACAGGAGATGGGGCAGCTTTCACTCTAATCTTTGCACTGTGGGCCCACTGGTTCGCTTCATCACTTACCTGTTTTTCATACGCAGTTTAGTGACACAAATCGTCCTTGCAGTGTGGTGCGGTTGTCACCATTGCCTGTTTGCTAAGGCCTCCTCCGGCAGTAACCTCCTAGGCTCTGGTAACGCTCATAGCCTTCAGTGTCCACACGTCTGCCTGTTCTTGACACGCATATAAGTGAGGCCGGCTGGGTGACGGTTGGCAGTTGTGTGCTGGACCCGGTGACAGGTTTCCGTCTGTCTGCCGCCTCGTCGTCCTGGCCAGGCCACAGTCTGTGCTTCAGCGTGGGGTGCCAGCTGGGCACCCTCCTCCCAGAGCTGGCCCCGTGTGCTCTCCGCACGCTCACTCTCGTCCTCCTCCCCCCCACCCCGCCCTGCCCTCCCCGGTGGACGCGGGCTCAGGCGTGGACATGATCAGCAAGATGTTGAAGATGCAGATGCTGGAGGACGAGGACGACCTGGCGTACGCAGAGGCCGAGAAGAAGACGCGCACGGACTCCACGTCCGACGGGCGCCCCACCTGGATGAGGACGCTGCACACCACCGCCTCCAACTGGCTGCAGCTGATTCCCCAGACGCTGACCCACCTCAAGCGGACCGTGGAGAACATCAAGGTAGTGAGGCTCTCGGGGCCAGTGTTGGTGGTCGTTCTGGGTGAGGGCTCAGAGCCATGGTGGGCTCCACGCACCTGGGCTCCTTGGTAACAAGTTTGTAAACCCTGCTTTGAGGAAAGGATATTGACCCTTTCAAACGCTAAAAACGCTCTACCCGATCGATGGTCAGGGAGGATCATAGGCTCCCGGCAGCCTCCAGGGTGAAGTGCCCTTGTCGGCTCGCCCCTCCGCCCTTCTCCTCACACCATGCTGTCACCTCTCTGCATGACTCTAGGATCCCTTATTCCGATTCTTCGAGCGAGAGGTCAAGATGGGCGCCAAGTTGCTCCAGGATGTTCGTCAGGATCTTGCCGACGTCGTGCAAGTGTGTGAAGGGAAGAAGAAGCAGACCAACTACCTGCGTACACTCATCAATGAGCTGGTGAAAGGTGCACCGGGGGGTCCTGGGGGCTCCGGGTGGGGGATGGCTCCTCCCCTGGCTGCGGTGCGGGGTCGGCTCGGGGGCTGCTGGGGGGCACTCCTGAGGGGGACGGACAGCTCCTGAGGGCTGCCTGGCCGGGGAGCCCTCTGCACTCAGCCCCAACGTGCTCTGAGGGTGCATGCTGAGGGATGTCGGGCTGGGTGTGAGGTGTGGTGTCCCCGAGGTGGTGGTCTTACAGCCTGAAGAGGGTTGGGAGCGGGCCATGGGGCCAGGCCACAGGCGGGCTGTGTGCTCTCAGCCACAGCTTCCCTTGGAAGTGACTACAGCCCTCACCAGACACTTGGACGCTGGCAGTCACCCTGGACTGGGGTCAGGGCAGTTACTGGGGGGCAGCAGGCGCGGTGCTCGTCTGTGCTGGGTGGACCCTCCAAACCAACACCAGGTACCCTTGGTTGCAGGGATCCTGCCACGGAGCTGGTCCCACTACACGGTGCCAGCCGGCATGACCGTCATCCAGTGGGTGTCCGACTTCAGTGAGAGGGTCAAACAGCTGCAGAGCATCTCCCTGGCCGCAGCGTCTGGCGGCGCCAAGGAGCTGAAGGTGCTTTCTTGCTGGGGGTTAAAGACATTCTGAAAACTGGGGGCAGGGCAGCTGCGCAGGCCAGGGGCCACAGGGCCAGGCTGCCGTGCTCACCGCCTGCGTCCCCACAGAACATCCACGTGTGCCTAGGCGGCCTCTTTGTACCCGAGGCCTACATCACCGCCACCAGGCAGTACGTGGCGCAGGCCAACAGCTGGTCCCTGGAGGAGCTCTGCCTGGAGGTCAATGTCACCACCTCACAGAGCGCCACGCTCGACGCCTGCAGCTTTGGGGTCACAGGTGAGTCAAGGTACACGGGCCGCTTGGAGCCAGCCCCTCTTCTAACGGTCCCTGGAGGTCACGCTCACCCAGGCTTCCAGTTTGCCGATATGTCCCCTTGCACTGACTCAGGTGATCCTAGAGCGTGGGCCCAGCTGTGTGGTTTGAGGTGTGGGTGACGTGCTGGAGCTGTTGGGCTTGGTGGCCTGAGACTCCTGGGATGGTGGCTGGGGGCGTCGCTGCATCCCCCTCACACTGGGCTTCGTGTTCTCTCTCACAGGCCTGAAGCTGCAGGGGGCCACGTGCAGCAACAACAAGCTGTCGCTCTCCAACGCCATCTCGACCGTCCTCCCCCTCACACAGCTCCGCTGGGTCAAACAGACGAACACGGAAAAGAAGACGAGCGCGGTAAGGGCTTCACTCGAGCTGTGCGCTGCTCCCGGTGGTCGGGTCCCCCTGGGGTCGGGGTTCTGCAGCTAGACACCCCACTGCCACAGATCAAGGTCACCTCCCATCTCCAGCTGGGAAACTAGCACAAGTTCTAGAAGTCAGGTGCTTTCTAGGAAGCCACGTCTCCGTCTCTACAGACTCCTCCCCCATCCAGAGCCCACCTCCAGCCGTGTCTGGACACCCTCCCTATGTTTCTTACCTTCTCTGTCAGCATCTTTGTTCTCTAGCATCTGTAGAAACCCTATAAGTGGGTGGTTTAAAGACCGAAACACGTTCCCTGAGTTCTGAGGACTTCAATCCCTAGTCGGGTCCTCGGCCAAGTTGACTTTCCCTGTTGGTGGCCCCAGGCTCCCAGGCTCCCGGGCCTCATTCTTCCCCCGCGTGTGTCGGTGCTGCTCCTTGTACAGCTCAGGAGGGCTGGAGATGGGGACCCAACCTTCACGGGTGTGGCCCCATTGACCTAGCAGACCGACCCTGATCCCAGACGGGACCCCGTCCCCAGTACTCCACGCTTTGGGGAACGCGGGTCAGTCCCTGACACGAGGCTGTGTTTTCCCTGCCAGGTGACCTTGCCTGTCTACCTGAACTTCACACGTGCGGACCTCATCTTCACCGTCGACTTTGAAATCGCGACCAAGGAGGACCCGCGCAGCTTCTACGAGCGTGGCGTTGCCGTCCTGTGCACAGAGTAACGCTGCAGCCGCTTCCCTTTCCCTGACGGAAACGTCCTATTTAACACTGTTTGTTATTAAACGTCTGGAGAGGCGAGGACTTGGAAGAAGAAAGTAGCAAGTAGCCGGTCTGAGGTTGGCAGACACGGGACGACGCTTGACGGCTGGGGGAGGGGAGACAGGAGAGAGGAAAGTATGTGTCTTTTGAGGGTTTCTGGCGAGGAGGCTGTTTTATGAAATAAAACACTAAGCATGGCTCCAGCCTATCTCTGTAGCAGCTCTGTCACCGCCCCGGCCCGCCTGGCACCCGCCCACGTCAGCAGGAGGGCGGGCCACACCCCAACGCACCTCCATCCTGAGCACTTGGTGCACAAGCCTGAGCTCCGCCCTGGCTCCCGGTGGAGTGTGGTGGACGTCCACCTGGCTGCCGCTGGGAGCCAGGGCAGAGGAGCACCTGGGACGTCTCCTCATGTGGAGAAACGGCCAGGCGGGCGAGGCCACTGACGGCCCTGCATCCCTCATCCGGGATCTTGGGGGCCTTGCCGAGCAGCTGCATTCAGCCAAACGCCTGCCCTGGCTGCTAAGGCCACCTGTGTGCTGTCCCTGCAGGCGAGTCTGTCCCATCCCGCCCAGGAGGGTGCTGGAGGTGGGTGAGAGCAAAGGCTGGCTTCTCTCCATCGCTGCTGGTGGAGTGGTGGCTGGACCCGCTGCTGAGGGGCTCCCACAGCTGCGCCTGCACTGCCCTGGGGCTGCTGGGCGTGGCCGCAGTGATAGCCGTGGCTGGTGGGTGTGGCCTCAGGGACAGGACCTGGGTCCTCGCTGGGAGCTCGAGCCTGTGACCCACCTCCTGTGGGGAGTGTCATTGCTGGGTCAGTTACCTGCAGGAGTGTTAGTGGCAGGTGCTCGCAGCCTGGAGCTGAGTTGGGTTGACCTTTGGGTGCATTTTTATGTTCCCTTCTGAACTGATCTGTCGGGCCCTTGGCATTTTCACAGCAGAGAGCAAGGGCCACTGTGCTTTTGGTAGGGAGCAGCAGGTAGGCCAGATAATAGGAGACCTACCAGAGGTGGCCACGTAGAAGCGTCCCCACTGGCCCATGTGTCCACCCTGTCCACTGGTGTAGCCAAGGTGTGGGGCATCTCAACCAACAGGACGCCTTGTCCAGAGGGAAGGAACGTGGCCCAAGTCCTCAAGGCCTTTTGTTGTTGTTATGTGCCATGAGGTCGTCTCCGACTTAACAGCAACTTTACGTACAACAGAAGGAAACACTGCCGGTCCTGGGCCAGCTCACAATCCCCACTGTACCTGAGCCCATCGCTGCAGCCACTGGGTCCGTCCAGCTCGTTGAGGGCCTTCCCTCTTTCACTGACCCTCCACTTTACCAAGCATGACGTCCTTCTCCAGAGAATGGTCTCTTCTGACAACATGACCAAAGTAGGTGAGGCGAAGTCTGGCCATTCTCACTTCCAACAAGCATTCTGGCTGTACTTCTTCCAAGAAGGATTTGTTAGTTCCTTTAGCAATCCATAATACTTTCACCATTCTTCACCAGCACCACAGCTCAAAAGTGTCGACTCTTCTTCGGTCTTCCTTCTTTATTGTCCAGCTCTCACATGCATATGAGGTGACTGAAAATACCATGGCTTGTGTCAGGTTCACCTTAGACCTCAAGGACACATCTTTGCTCCTCAGCACTTGAAAGAGGTCTTTTGCAACAGATCTGCCCAGTGCTATATGTACTCTGATACCTTGACTGCTGCTTCCATTGGCGTTGATTGTAGAACCAAGTAATATGAAGCCTTTGACATCTTCAGTCTTTGATCATGAAGCTGCTTATTGGTCTAGGTGTGAGAATTTTTGTTTTCTTTATACTGAGGTGTAATCCATGCTGCAGACTACAGTCTTTAATCTTCATCAGTAAGTGTTCCGAGTCATCCTCACTTTCAGCAAGCAAAGTTGTGTTTTCTGCGTATTTGAGGTTGTTAATGAGCCTCCAATCTTAATGACACGTTCTTATTCACATAGTCCAGCTTCTCGGATTATTTGCTCAGCATACAGATTGAATAAGTAGAGTGAAAGGATACAACCCTGACGCACTCCCTTCTTGATTTTAAACCACGTTGTGTCCCCTTGTTCTGTTTGAACGACAGCCTCCTGGTCTATGTACAGGTTTCTGATGAGCATAATTAAGTGTTCTGGAATTCCCATTCTTCTCAATGTTATCCACAATTTGTTACGATCCACACAATCAAATGCTTTTGCACAGTCAGTGAAACACAAACATTTTTCTGGTATTCTTTGCTTTCAGCCAAGATCTGTCTGACATCAGCTATGATATCCTTCACTCCACATCCTCTTCTGAATCCAGCTTGCATTTCTGGAAGTTCTCTGTCAATATACTGCTGCAACCATTTTTTAATTATCTTTAGTAAGACTTTATTTGCATGTGGTAACAATGATATCATTCGATAATTTCCACATTCTATGAAATCACCTTTCTTTGGAATGGGTACAAATAAGGATCTCTTCCGGTCAGTTGGTCAGGTAGCTGTCTTCCAAATTTCTTGGCATAGCCGAGTAAGTGCCTCCAGTGCACCATCCAGTTGTTGAAACATCTCAGTGGCTATTCTGTCAATTCCTGGAGCCTTGTTCTTCACCAATTCCTTCAGTGCAGCTTCAACTTCTTCCTTCAATACCATTGGTTCTTGATCATATGCCACCTCCTGGAATGGATGAACATCGACTAATTCTTTTTGTTACAGTGATTTTGTATTCCATCCATCTTCTTTTGATGTTTCCTGCATCATTCAACATATATTGCCCATGGAATCTTTAAGTATTGCAACTCGAGGCTTAATTTTTTCCTTAGTTCTTTCAGCTTGAGAAATGCCAAGCATGTTCTTCCCTTTTGGCTTTCTAACTCCAGGTCTTTGCACATTTCATTATAGTAATTGGCTTAGTCTGCTCAAGCTGTTCAGCTCCTTTATCCTGTCAATCATCCCATTTGCTTTAGCTACTCTCTTCAAGAGCAAGTTTCAGAATCTCTTCTGACATCGATTTTGGTCTTTTCTTCCTTTCTTGTTTTTTTAATGACCTCTTGCTTTCTTCATGGATGATTTTCTTGGTGTCATCCCACAATTCTTCTGGTTTTCGGTCATTGATGTTCAGTGCATCAAATCTATCCTTTAGATAGTCTCTAAATTCAGGAGAGATATAATAAAGGTCATATTTTGGCTCTTGTGGACTTCTTTTAATTGTCTACAGCTTCCACTTGAACTTGCATATGAGCAGTTGATAGTCTGTTCCACAGTCAGCTCCTGGCTTGGTTTGGGCTGAAGATATTGAATTTCTCCATCGCCTCTTGCCACAGATGTAGTCAGTCTAATTCCTGTGTACTCCATCTGACAAAGTCCACATATATAGCCGCTGTGTTGTTGAAAAAAGGTATTTGCAATGAATAAGTCATTGGTCTTGCGAAATTCTGTCATGCGATCTCCAGCGTTATTTCTGTCACTGTGGCCAAATTTTCCAACTACCAGTGATTCTTCTTTGTTTCCAACTTTTGCATTCCAGTCACCAGTGATAATTAACACATCTTGATTGCATGTTTGGTCGATTTCAGACTGCTGAAGTTGGTAAAGATCTTCAATTTCCTCATGTTTGGCTTTAGTGGTAGGTGTGTAAATTTGAATAATAGTAGTATTATATGGTCTTCTCATTGTTGTTATGTGCTGTTGAGTCAGACCTGACTCGTAGCGACCACTCCTTGGGTCTCTGAGGCAGTGTCACTATGGAAGTAAGTTGCCCAGCCTTCCTTCCAAAGAGTGACTGGTGGGTTTGAACTGCCAGCCTTCTGGTTAGCAGTCAAGTGCCTTAGGCACTAGGCTACCAGAGTGTAGGTGTATGGATATTACCCTATCACTGACGGTGTTGTACTTCAGGAGACATCTTGAAACACTCTTTGTGATGATGAGTGCTACACCATTCCTCTTCAAATTTCCATTCCCAGCATAGTAGATCATATGGTTGTCTGATACAGGATGGCCAAAACCAGTTCATTTCAGCTCACTAATGCCTAGGATATTGATCTTTATGCTTTCCATTTCATTTTTGATAACTTCCAATTTTCCTAGATTCATATTTTGTACATTCCGTGTACCAGTTGTTAATGGATGTTTGCAGCTGTTTCTTCTTCTCTTGAGATGTGCCACATCAGCAAATGGGGGTCCTGAAAGCTTTGCTCCATCCCCATCGTTAAGGTCAGCTCTACTCTGGGGAGGCAGCTCTTCCCCAGTCCTATTTGGAGAGCCTTCCAACCTGAGGGGCTCATCTTCTGTCAGTATATTGGACAGTGTTTCAGGATTATTCATAAAGTTTTCCAGTAATAATTCAGACAGTGTTTCACTGCTATTCATAAGGTGTTCACTGGCCAATTCTTTGAGCAGTGGAGGGCCTTTTCCTTCTTCTGAGTCTGCCTTAGTCTGGAAACGCCACTGAAACTGTCCCCCATGGGTGACCCTGCTGGCATCTGAAACACTGGCGGCACAGCCTCCAGCCTCACAGCAACACGCAAGCCACCCCAGTAGGACAAACTGAAGACAAGTACATCTCTAGCTGTTCTAAACTGCTCTGCCCATTTCCTGGTCTCCCCCACCCTGCATGCTTACCTGGCCTGCCCTTGGGGCAAACACCCACCTTCCACTGGTCCCAGGGCTGGCTTACTGCAGCCTGCCCCCAGATCTGCTCCACACACACAAACACCCGCCTCCCGCTGGTGGGGCTGGCTTACTGTGGTTTGCCCCCGGGACAGCTCCTTGCACGCAGACACCTGCGTTCAGCTGTTTGTGCAGGCAAATACCTACGTCAAGGCTGGGGTGGGAGCAAATGTGGGGCCCACTCCCTGCTGTGGGTGCCGCCCTGACAGCCCACAGGCAGCCATTCTGCCTTTCCTTGAGGGTGGGGGCGGCCTGTGCAGACCCCACTGGGACTGGCCCAAGGGTTTCCTTGCTACTCCTTCAAGTAC